GCGGTAGTGGCAGCGGCAGCGGCAGCGGCAGCCTCGGCCGCCGCCCGCGGCGCAAGTGGGAGGTGTTCCCGGGCCGCAACCGCTTCTACTGCGGCGGCCGCCTCATGCTGGCCGGCCACGGCGGCGTCTTCGCGCTCACGCTGCTGCTCATCCTCACCACCACCGGACTCTTCTTCGTCTTCGAGTGAGTCTTCTGGTCCCTGGCCGGGCACCCTCATCCTCCCCGCCCCTTGCTGGGGACCCCGTCCCTTCCCTGCGCCTGCCTCCTCCCCGCCTCTCTCAGGTCGACCCGCAGGCCTCTCCGGTCTTCTCGCACATCTCTTGTCTGTCCTCCCTGGTCGCCCCCACCCCTCCCAGAACCCCTCATCCTCCCCTGTGCATTGGGGTACCCCGTCTGCGCTGGTCTCCTCCGCTCTCCCAGCCGCCGGGTCCTCCCCGGCCCCGCCCTGGCACCTGTCTGCCTGCCTCTGCTGGGAACACCGCCCTCCACGGCCCCATCCTCTCTGCCCTCTCAGAACCTGCCCCCGGCTCCTTGGGCAGATGTCTCCGGGTCACCTGTCCCTGACCGACCATCTCTTGCCCACCCTGCCACCCCCCCAGTTCTCTCTGGCCCTCCCTATCCCTTCCAAACAACTTCTACATTTCTCGTGTCCTTTGGCTATGTACACCCACCACAAATTTCCCAGTCATCCTCTCTGCTCCCGCCAGGTCCCTCCAGGGTCCCCTCCTGTCTCTACTCTCAGACCCTGCCTGGGCCCCCAGGCATCTTCCCTGAAACGTCTTTGGGCCTGTCAGGCCTCTTTTCCTTCTTCAGCACCTTCCTTAGTTTCTCCAGAGCGTCCTGTCCTTCCCTCGCCCCCTGGGCGTCTCCCAGGCCCCTTGCCCTCTCCTGACCACCTGGCTTGCTGTCCCTCCTCAGCATTCCAGAACATCCCTCTGGCCTGTTCCACATCAGGAACACCTGCAGCGCCTTGTTTTTCAAGGAAGAGTCCAGAGTGCTTTTGTGTGACCGGTCATATTTGCCCCCATGGGTTTCTGACCTCTTCACATCCTCAGTGACCCAGGACTGGCCCACGTGGTATCTCTGTTTTGTGGATGCAGCAGTGGATGCTTATCCTCTCCCAGGGTCACATCTTTGTTTTGGAAGTTTTCCACCCCTTGGTCTGCAGCTTGAGCCACCTGCCCTGTGATTCGCTGCGTGCACACCCACCCTGTGCTGCACAAGCCCCACATTCCCTCCTTGTTCTCCCCGTCCTCTGTGGTCATCTTCCTTCATCCTGTGGTGCGGTTGAAAACTCTGTCTCTGGAGCCACCAGACCTGGTTCACATCCCAGCTCCACTGTGCACTAATTGTGTAACCTCGGGGCAGTCACTTCACCCTCAGAGCCCCAGTTTCTCATCTGTAAAATGGGGTTTATAATAGTATCCACCCCGAAGGTTGCCCTGAGGGTGGCATGAGGTCACACATGCAAGCTTTTAGTCCAGTAACAAGCACTTAATATTGGCAGCTGTTAGTACTTGTCGTCTTTACTAAAAGACACTTCCCAAGGGCATGTGACCAGGCTGTCATAAAGACAACAGCCCCCAGGTACCCTTTCCAGCTGCCAGATCATGTATCTGCAACCTTGGGTTTCCCCTTAAAGCAAGGTGAAAACTTCCTATAAATTAGCTTCTCCCTTCACCCTTCCAGGAAACACTCTGCCCTTCCTTTCTGAGGGTGGATGAAAAGTTCAGGGATGATTTACAAGCAGAGGCTCTGGGAGCCCCCAGCATGGCCCCTGTGCTGAGTTTCAGATCCACTTCACTGGGCGGTCCACATGAGTGTTTTGGAAGTGTCTTTTCCACTCTCTCCTGGGTTGCCCTCTTGGTCCCCATGCCCAGGGCTTCAGCTGAGGCAGGAGGAAGCGGTGCTTATTGTGGTTGGCCCATGTGACCCTGCAGTGTGAGATTTGGTCTGTTCGAAAGCAGGACATTCTCTGGGCTGTTGTGTGTACCTTCCACTGGTGAGTGATTTGTCTCCAGCGAGGGAGGAAGGAAGCAAGGACTTCTGGGTTCGGGGAGAGCTTGTGAATCAGCTTGCCTTTTGTCTCTGCTCATCCTCACTTGGGGTGGTGGATTTGGCAGGAGGATTTGGATTTGGGCCAAGAGCTCACCTGGGTCTGAACTGGTGTGAAACCCCAGCAGGGGCCTGGCGTGGTAGAAATGCCCTTAGTGAGGACAGGAACAGTGGGAGACACTCTTGTACTCCCCCATTGCTCTGGGAAAAGGTAAAGGTGCTCTCTGGGGCCTTTCCTGCTATGAGTGGTTTTGCTTCATTGTTTGGTTTGGTGGATTGTTGCACAGGCCTCCCAGCTTCTGCCCTACTTCCCACCCCCACACAGGAGCCAGAGTACCCCTTTAATTCTAAGTTACATCCAAATCCTCCCTGGCCTCTGGGCCCTGCTCCCTTTCTGTCTTCATCTTCCCCCACCCACTGGCTGTGCATGCCTTTCAGGCACACTGTCCTCCTTGCACACTCATACCTCAGGGCCTTTGCACTGTCTGGAATACCCTGCCTTTAGGGAGCCTCATAGCTCACTCTTTCACTTTCGCCCTTTTCTGTCCATCTGTACAGCATAGCAAACCACTTCCCTCCAGCCTGTCCTCTCTACTCTCATTTATTGTTCTCTGAAGCACTTGCTACCACCTGACATCTTATTTTTAAATTATTTATTTATTTAGGGATAGGGTCTTGCTCTGTTGCCCAGGCTGGAGTGCAGTGGTACAGTCATAACTCACTACAGCCTTGAACTCCTGGGCTCAAGCAATCCTCCTGCCTCAGCCTCCTGAGTAGCTGGGACTACAGGTGTGCACCACCATGGCCTGATAATTAA